CGAGCGACTATGCGATCGTTAGCATCTACGCGCTGCTGCCGTCCCTGTATGCACCGGCGTGGCTGCCGTGGCGCGCGCGCGTCATTGGCTACATCTCGAGCAACATGTTTAAAGTACAAGCCCAGACGACCCTCGACAAGCTCAAAGCGTACAGCTACAGCCGCGGCACCTGCATTTCCTAGTCCTACATATGACAAAATATATACCCTTGCGTGGTTGGGTGCGGCGAAGTTGGTCGAGATGGGACGCAGGCCTAGACTTCCAGTGGTTTGCATCAGAGAGGTATAGTGTTTCCATAAATCAAAAAGTGAAGGGGATCGCACAGTTGGGTTATTGCGGTTGGACAATGAATGGGTTTTCCTCGAAGATAGTTTAGCAGGGTATCCGTTTATCGTATTTTAAGCGTTTGAAACATTCGCCTAAGAATACATAATCGAATTCTCCATCGCGCGTCCTTTCTTGTCGGCACGAGCGCACTTGAGCCGCACCATGGTTGTCATCCCGCTGCGTTCGTGGGTCTATCGCCTCCAGTCCGATGTACGCATTTCGACTTTGATGGCTCTCTGTACTACCGGTATGTATGACATTGCTACTTGCAGCTAGGCAAGACAGTGTCGTCGTCGGCGCGATCGACCGCCAGCAGTCGCTCCGACAAAAAAGCAAACGAGAAGAGCACGTCATACGTGGCGCTCACGCGTATCCTCTCCAACCTCGTCGCTGGCGCCCTCGTCTTCCTCTCGGTCGCCACGCTCATCGTGCTTCTGTCCCAGGTACACTACGCCTGTCCTCTTCTCTTGGTCAAGCGTAGTTTCGTGCCAGAACATGTTTGCCCGCACGGGCATCTCAGCGAATACGCAGACTGAGGGCTTCTTCTGGGCGCCCTACGGCCAAAACTGTAAGCTCAATGCCAACGGCTTTGTCCCCAACACGTACAATGATGGTGAGGTAGTCGCGTGATGAGCTATGAGGATGTTGTAGGTGCTCGGCCGTGGAGGAAAGCGCGATTGTACCGGCGGCCTGGGCGGCCGTCGGCGTCGCCCTCGCGCAGCAGTGGTCGCTCGAGCTCGCAAAAGGTTTGTAACTGCAGCTGTTGCTCGCAAAGATCACATATATGTCCGTAGCAAGTCCGATGTATGTCACGACGTGCATCATTGGTGGCGCGGCTGTCGGGTGGACCGACCTCCAGCTCATCGCCGGGTACTGATACGAAATGTGGTGTTCTTCCTTGACTATGGTGACATACCTAGGTACACTAGCTTCCCCGAGTGTTTGCCGACAAACGGCGCGCAGCCCGTCGCCGGCATGGTGATGCTCGAAACGACGGTATTTTTATTTATTTTTCGGATTTGTGGTGATAATGTACGATAATAGATCCGCGAAAATCACCCGGACGGCGTCTACCTCATGACGCTCTACTCGGACCTGACGCCAGAAACGATGGGTAATTTCGAGTGTGCCCCTACACCCGTTGTCCTTAGTACTCGATCATCCATAGATCGTAAGTGTACCTTGGCTCCAGCCGGTGAGTC